TAAAGTTAAGGACACATATTATAATACTCCGGGGTTGAATTAAGTATATTAGACACATACTGCAGAAACTAGAGATATTCATTTGTAGATAATACAAATTTTTGGGTGATTTATCATTAATGAAGAATGAGAATAAACAATTTAGCTTGGTGGAAGAGTTCTTTATCTACCTACCTGTTAAATGAGTTAGGGTTTTGACTTGGAAAGACCCTATCATTACCTATATAAATGTAAACTCTCTATAACAGCTATCAAGCTATTTTTTCAAAGATTCCTATGAGGCAGGAAAAACTAATAGGAGGAAGATCACACATTTAGGGATTAGCAAAAAAAACTAAGCTCTTCAAGTTGAAAATTACCAATTTTGTGAACAATTTTGAGATTGTATAGTAAGCATTTAACTAATCTATTTAGTGAATCCCCATAACAAAGGGCAAGTACAAATGATAATGATGTGACAGAATCCCCAAAAAGCAAATATAGTTTTGGCCTGAATTAATAGTCTATTTCCTAGGCTGAGAGAGATGACTGTTTTGTTCTATTCTACAGTAGACCAGACTGACAAAAATATATTTTACTTTGGGACTTACACAAACTTAAGCATCTTCAGAAAGGAGTGACCAGTATGTGGAAGGACATGAAAACATGAGATACAGGTTATCTATCTTGAAGAAAATGAGACCCAGGGGATGAATGATAGCTATCTTCAAATATTTGATGGGCTGAGAGAGAGAAAAAAGATTACTTATAAGGGAAACCCCATCAGGCTATTCGCAGACTTTCAGCAGAAACTTTACAGGTCAGAAAGGAGAGGCATGAAATATCTAATGCATTGAAACAGAAGGACTTCTAACAAAGAATCCTCTACCCAGCAAGATTATCATTCACATTTGAATCAGAGATTAAAAATTTCCGAGATAAATGAAGGCTGAAGGAATTTACAACACCTAAAGTGGCATTACAGGATATGTTAAAGGGACCTCTGTGGATGGAAAAGATCTTAGGCCTAAATAGTTTTCACCAGTGAAAATAAACCCACAGTCAAGGTAGCAGACCAATTACTTACCAAGCAAGTACAAAATTAAAAGAAAAGTAGTAAAACCAACTATACACAAAATCAGTCAAGTGATACACAAAATTCAGTGCAGACTGCAACATCTAAACATGAAGTGTGGAGGATGAAGAAGAAAAAAAGCACTTTCATATTGTGTCTCAAATAGAGCAATCATCAACTTACACAGTCTGTTGTATAGTTAGGAAACTATCCTTCAACTTATGGTAACCACAAACCTAAAACCTACTAGATACAAAATAAAATTAAAAAGGAGAAATTCAATCACAAAATTAAAGAAAAGCATCAAATAACAAGAGAAGAGTATAAGAGAGAAAGAAAGTAACAGATAAGAGTTCTAAAAACAACCAGAAAACAATTAATAAAATGGCAATAGGTACATACTTATCAATAATTACCTTAAATGTAAATGGACTGAATGCACCAATCAAAAGACACAGAGTAAGAGAATGGATAAAGAAACATGACCCATCCATATGTTGCCTACAAGAGACTCATTTCATACTCAAAGACATACAGAGACTAAAAGTGAAGATATAGAAAAAGATAATTTCTGAAAATAATAAGGAGAAAAAAAGCAGGAGTAGCAGTACTTGTATCAGATAAAGTAGACTTCAAAACAAAGAAAGTAACAAGAGACAAAAAAGGACATTACGTATTAATAAAGGGGACAGTCATACAAGAGGATATAACCATTATAAATATCTATACATCCAACATAGGAGCACCTAAATATGTAAAACAAATACTAACAGAATTGAAGGGGGAAAGAGACTACAACTCATTCATCTTAGGAGACTTTAACACACCACTCACATCAATAGACAGATCAACCAGACAGAAAATAAATAAGGAAACAGAAGCACTGAACAGTACATTAGATCAGATGGACTTGACAGATACCTACAGAACATTCCACCCAAAGGCAGCAGGATGCAGTTTTCTCCAGTATACATGAAACGTACTCCAGAGTAGATTATATATGAGGCCACAAAAAGAGCCTCAACATGGGAATGTAAATTAGTTCAACCATTGTGGAAAGCAGTATGGAGGTTCCTCAAAAAGCTCAAAATAGAAATACCATTTGACCCAGGATTTCCACTTCTAGGAATTTACCCTAAGAATGCAGTAGCCCAGTTTGAAAAAGACAGATGCACCCCTATATTTATCGCAGCACTATTTACAATAGGCAAGAAATGGAAGCAACCTAAGTGTCCATCAGTAGATGAATGGATAAAGAAGATGTGGTACATACACACAATGGAATATTACTCAGCCATAAGATGAAAACAAATCCTACCATTTGCAACAACATGGATGGAGCTAGAGGGTGTTATTCTCAGTGAAATAAGCCAGGCGGAGAAAGACAAGTACCAAATGATTTCACTCATATGTGGAGTATAAGAACAAAGAAAAACTGAAGGAACAAAACAGCAGCAGAATCACAGAAGCCAAGAATGGACTAACAGTTACCAAAGGGAAAGGGACTGGGGAGGATGGGTGGGAAGGGAGGGATAAGGGAGGGAAAAAAGAAAGGGGGCATTATGATTAGCATGTATAATGTGGCGAGGGCATGAGGAGGGCTGTACAACATAGAGAAGACAAGTAGTGATTCTACAACATCTTAACTACGTTGATGGACAGTGACTGTAATGGGGTTTGTGGCGGGGACTTAGTGAAGGGGCCTAGTAAACATAATGTTCTTCATGTAACTGTAGATTAATGATAACAACAACAACAAAAAAAGAGCCTCAACAAATTAAAGAAGATTGAAATTGTATCAAGCAACTTCTCAGACCACAATGGTATGAAACTGGTATTACATAAAGAAAACAAAAAAACCCTACAAACACATGGAGGCTAGAAACATGCTTCTAAATAACTAATGGATCAGTGAACAAATCAAAACAGAAATCAAGCAATACATGGAGACAAATGAAAACAAAAATGCAATACTCCAAAATTTTTGGGACACCACAAAAGTGGTTCTAAAAGGGAAGCACACAGCAATACAGGCCTACCTCAAGAAACAAGAACAATTCCAAATAGTCTAAGCTTACAACTAAAGAAACTAGAAAAAGAAGAACAATTGAAACCCAAAGTTAGTAGAAGGAAGGATATAATAAAGATCAGAGCAGAAATAAATAAAACAGAGAAGAATAAAACAATAGAAAAAAATCAATGAAATCAGGAACTGGTTCTTTGAGAAAATAAAGAAAATGGACAGACATCCTAGCCAGACTTAACCAAGGAAAAAAGAGAGAGTCCACAAATAAGCAAAATCAGAAATGAAAAAGGAATAGTCACAACAGATGCCACAGAAATACAAAGAATAATTTTAAAATGCTATGAAAAATTATATGCCAATAAATTGGCCAACCTAGAAGAAATGGACAACTTCCTAGAAAAATACAACCTTCCAAGACTGACCCAGGAAGAAACAGAAAATATGAACAGACCAATTACCAGCAATGAAATTGAACTGGTAATGTAAAAGCTCCCAAGAAACAAAATTCCAGTGCCAGACGACTTCACAGCTGATTTCTACCAAACCTCTAAAGAAGAGCTAATACCCACTCTTCTTAAAGTATTCCCAAAAGTAGAAGAGGAGGGAATACTTCCAAACTCATTCTATGAGGCCAGCATCACTCTACAGACAAAGACACTACAAAAAAAATTAAAAACATAGATGCAAAAATCCACAACAAAATAAGGGAAAACAGAATTCAAAAATACATCTAGAGGGTCTTGTTTCAGGGATGAAAGGATGTACATATCTGCAGATCAACCAATGTGATATACCACATTAACAGAAAGGATAAAGTCCACAATTATCATCTAAATAGATGCTGAGAAAACATCTGACAAAATTCAATATGTACTCACAATAAAAACTCTCAACAAAAAGGGTAGGAGGGAATGTATCTCAATATAATAATGGACACATATGGAAAACCCACAGCTAACACCACACTCAATGGTGAAAAACTAAAACCTTTTCCTCTAAGATCTGGAAGAAGAGAAGGATACTCACTCTCACCGCTTTTATTCAACATAGTACTGGAGGTTGTAGCCATAGCAATAAGACAACACAAAGACATAAAAGGCATCCTAATTGGTAAGGAAGAAATAAAACTGTTACCATTTCAGATGACATGATATTATATATAGGAAACAATAAAGACTCCACCAAAAAACTATTAGAAGTAATAACTGGATTCAGCACAGTTGCAGGTCACAAAATTAATACACAGAAATCTGTCATATTCCTATATACTTATAACAAACTAGCAGAAAGAGGAATCAGGAAAATAATTCCACTTACAATTTCTTCAAAAAAGAATAAAATACCTAACCAAGGAGGTGAAGACTTGTACTCTGAAAACTAAGACACTCATGAGAGAAATTAAAGACACAAATAAATGGAAATCTATCCCATGCTCATGGATAAAAATAATCCATATTGTCAAAATGGCCACCCTGTCCAAAGAAATTTACAGATTCAATGTAATCTCTATCAAAAGCTCAGAATCATTTTTCAATAAACTACAGCAGCAAATACTCCTAAAATTCATACGGACCCACAAAAGACCCCAAACAGCCAACGAAAACCTGAGATAGAACAAAGTTGAGGTTATTCCTATATTAAACTATATTACTAGGCTATACTACAGTGATATAGTTATCAAAACAGTACGGTACTGGCACAAGAACAGAGCAATAGATCAATGGAAGAGAATATAGAGCCCAGATATAAACCCACACATACATGATCAACATTTGAATTTAAATTAGAATTTAAGGTAATTTCACTCTACTTACCTTAACTCTTGAAAGTTAGATACTTAATTTCAGAATAGGCAACTGATGAAGTTATTATGCACAACAGAAAATTGTGATCAGGAAGATTAAAGTATGTTATACTAACCAATTAGAAGAACTGTTCCAACAGCCAAACCTCCACCTGGGAATGAAATAAAACCAAGAAGAAAATTAATTTACCTATTCACATTATCTTTAGTATAAAAGTTAGGCTTTATCAAAGACAGGTATATTTCAATAACTTTAAAACCATAGTTGAGAACAACATATTAATTACTTTTGCAATAGTCTGCATAAGGTGCTATTATGAAATAATTACGTATTAAATTTAATTAACATACTACACATTAAAATTTATAATATACTGTACCATCCTCTTTTCTCCTGTGATAGGACCATGTGGCATTCAACAAAACTGTAGTTGATTACTCCAGTAATGTAGATAGCACTTGTTAATAAATTAACTCAGTAGCTGAGACCTAATGTGCACAGTAACTTAAATATTATAGAAGTGCAACATAGAAAAGAAAGGTTATTATGACAGAAATTCCACTTTATTAGTTAGACTCAAATTTACTAGGCTCTGGGGGAAAAAAACTGGTAACTGAAATTCTTTTTTATTATGAATAAATATACAAAGTCTGAAATGCTCTAAATATACTTAGAATTTAAAATGAACAATATTGTTGTTATTCCATGCACAGAAAATACAATCACAAAACATTTTCAATAGTAGAAAATGTCCTTTTAAATATCTGACAGTGTAATAATGATCATGAACATTTAACTCAAATAGTGATTCAATAAAAATCAATTTAGAAAATTAATTTTAAGGAAACCAGAACTACAATGAAACTATCAGTAAAACATTTGTAAAAGTACTACTACTCATAATTAATGTTACAAATACTAGCAAGTAAATTTACTTAAAAAGAAAAATACATATACCAAAAAATGAAATGTACTTAAAAGTGTAACTTAAAAAAACTACTTAAAATTGAACAGTTGAAGACAATGTTACTAGGGTTTTTTTTTCTGTTTTTGTTTTTTAGTGTGTGTGTGTGCACAACACTGTGAAAAAACCACTTAGAATATCAATAAACATCTTTTCCCCAGAAAAGTTTTGTGGGGGCAAATGTTAAACAGAAAACTTAGGAGGAACACTTTCTTGCATATTGTTTACTTTGCCTTGTATGTTTCAAAGAATTTGAAATTTGGTAGCATACATGCACACAGACACAATGCAACATCTAGTAACATGATAGTGAGGACTTTAAGTAGGACATTCCAAATTGTTAGAGAAGAAATTTTTGAAGAAGAAACCAGAACATTTATTGATTTTTAGGTTTAAGTATATTTGTTATATAGGACTAAATATATATTTTAATTTGACATTTAGATAAGTTCCTTCATTATAGCATTTAAAGCTATATCAGACTACATAGGATACCTTCAAATGTTGTTCTAACTCAACTATTAACAGACATATATATGATGGTAACAATCATAAAGGGTCACAGCAAAGAATTTCTTTGGGAGAAGATAATTCTAAATGTTTTACAGTTTGTACTATGTATAAACAATTGATTTTTTGAGCATTTAAAATCACATTTTCCAACTCCTTACTTCTCTACTCTTACATACAAAAATAAACATTTAACTACCTAATTGCCATCTGGTATATATTTAAGGAGAAGAAAAAACAGAATCACATAACTGAAAGATAATGCAATGTCTAGGTTAGAGCAGGTACTATAAAAAAGTTGCCGCCTTTTATTCCTTAACCTGTTTCTCATAGGAAGGGTTTAGATTTCCTATCTAAACTTTCTTGGGTCTACATTCAAGTCTCCTCAAATTAGGAATTTATAAAAGGCCTCCAACTGGAATATAGAATTAAGGATTTTTTTTGTGTGTAAGTGTTATACACAGTGGGATCATGAGAACAGATCAACGAAGTTTCCCAATTCAATGAAGTGATACCTAGCTCAGGTGTCTGACCCAGAGATTTACTTAGTTACCCTTACCAATCTGGCAATTATTTTCTGATTAGAACAAATCATCAAAATATAACCATTACCACAAAATGTGTATCACCATTATAAATGGTGATCACCATAACAGTAATGATTAGTAAGAATACTTCCCACTGATGAACTAGTTAAGCAAAGCATTATATAAATTAGACTACACTAGGAAGATAATTTTCTGTTGGAATGATCCACAGAATCTACTGTTTCTGCTAATTTAGAAAACACCAAATTTGTAAAGCCTCATTTACATTAAAATTCTTATGCCTGGAAAATTTGAAAACTAAAACAACCTAAAATGGGGACATTTTAATGACTTTTGCCAGCCAAATTAATATCCTATCAGGACTTCTCTTACAGAAAGGTGATTTTTTCCCCCTAATAGGCTCTATTACAGAAATTCACCAGAGTCAAATTTGGATGAATCTTGAAAGGTCTGTCATTGGAAATAAGATGATGTCACCTTATGAATTATGTTAAAGATGAACCTTTTATTCTATATATATGAGGTAAAATGATTAGATGTGTACATTTACACTATAGCAGTGAAATTTCTCTATTCTTCCAAACTTGATTTTACTGTTACAAGAACTTACAACATTCCCCCAAAATACTTCTGTATAAGGTATTTTTATATAGTTCATTTAATATATGGAGGTTTTAACTATATTTCAAACTAGAGTAAGTTTGAATACATTTGTAGGCATGCCTCCACCAAAAAATAAAAAGCTTAAAACAACCAATCAAGACAGGGCATCTTGGCATGATATATTCAGTGACAGCTAGCTTTTATATGTCCTTAATTTAGTAATCCATTAGTATTTTGATAAAAACAACACAGATTTCACAAATAGTTCTCAATTAAAATAAAAATATTCTTTCCCAATAGTTCATAAAAAATTTTTTACAGTTAGGTAATGGGATAAGTAATCATCTTATTTCTATGACAAAACATACAAGAGTAAAATGGTCTTGTTTACTGCCTCCTCTAACCTTCAATAATGTCTTACAGAAATAAACACTTTTTTAGTGACTAAGCCAATGAACCCTTAATTTTATTTCTAGACCTCTTTAAGAAATACAGTATCTCTAGCCTACAAAAATACAGGCAGAATATTTTACCAACATGCAAGAATACAGGAGTTTGAAAGCTTAAAGATATTATACAAGTTTGATAGAGTATTAACTTCACCAATATTTTACATTTTTAAAAAATGACAGAACATCTTGCATTAAAACTAGAAAAATACATACTTAAAAAAGTTGTAAAAAAACTTAAGATTTTGTGATTATGTACCAATATCTTCCTATTTTATGACTTTTAAAATGTGAAGGTAAGGGTTTTGTTTTTAATTCATGTGAAAGCTAGAAAATGATATGAACATTTTAAAGTGAGAAAATTCAATCCTCACACATTTCCTAAAATGAAGCTTTAATTAAGCTACAAAATTTGGCTAAATGAGGTCAAATTTGTGTTAGAATATGAAGGTCCAGAAGTGATATAAGGGCCTTTTTTTAAAAGTCAGAGAAAGTAAAAGGGAAAAGAAATAAAAGTCAGGGAAGACAACAGTGATTTATACGAGTCCTTTCCAGTGATCTCTATAGTGGAGTCATTTTGCTTAAAATTATAGAAAGGCATTTTAGGGAAAATACAACACGAGATACAGGTTCGTATTATTTCCTTGGTTCACAGTAATATCCTTAACTACTTAAAGCCACACCTTATATTAAATTTCAGTTATTTCATTAACACGTCTATTTTTTCTTTTCTAAGAGGTTAGAAACAACCTGGCAACTTTTGATTATCACAGCTACTGGCTGAGCATATAACAGAATCAAAATAGAAAAAGCAATTAACAGTGGGAATGGTTCTGTAGATTAAATCATGAATTTTACATAGCAATACAAAAGAATCTGCTGTATTTTCCTAAGTGTACAGCTATTGATTGCCAAAATATAACACGATTGTTAAATACATAGTCTAACCTCAATGTATATCATCCCACACTCCAGATTAAGATATAGTAAAACAATGGGAAAAGCCCACCAGTATTTACTTTTTGACAAGTGTTGAAAGGGGCAGCTACCATAAAGCTTCTGCAGCTTCTTGGATTGTTATTTAGCCCAAATCTCTTATCTTCTATTTACTTGACTGTCAACATTGAATTAAGTTCTGAACAGCCCAGAGGTTAAAGCCAATCCAACCTGAGAAGTCACCCTTGCTTCTAGTATCTTTTTGAAGGATGAGGTTAGGGGATCATTCCCCCAGCTAGACAATATGGCCCTAAAATGGACTGTACCTTATATCCTAGGAAGAAAATTCTGCCAGAATCCTTAACCTAGTACAGTATCTTTAGAAATCCCTAGAAGACAAATGGAGCATTTATGTAGTTTCCTCAAATAACAACACAAATGTCCTTCAAAGGCAGGGTTGAAAAACTGGGTTAGGAAATCTCAGACCTGAATAATAAATGTAGCCAACTTATACATGTAAATACCTAATAAATGTATTTATGTATACAAATAAATGTATATATCTAACAATAAAATTAGGTTATCAGAACAAAAATACTTAATATGATTAGATCATGTTTAAAAGTTGCAGATATAGGGAATTCTCAAATTTATAAAATACTCTGGAGTATGCAATAGAAATATTAGCATATCCTCAAATAACTAACAATTTGCCTGTATGATGCCTTGAAAATATATTTTGCATCTATGCTTATAATTAAAATGTCACAGTGACAGTAGTAAAATATAACTGCACTGTATGGCTGTGACAGTATTTCCTTTTTCCAGTGTCCACAGAATGTACTTAGGCAACAATCACAGTATTCCAGCATAGTTTCATCATTCTGTTATCTTAACATCCTACTATCACCGCATTTTGCTACAATAGGATTATATTAGGCTTGTCACAATCTGAGTCAAATAACATTTTAAGAGTAACAATATATATGAATTGCTTATACTTATGTATATACATATTAGCAGCCAAATGTTTAATTTTCAAATAATGTTTTAATGAAAACAAATGTAAAGAGTTTGCGCCAGAGCCATACAAAATATAAAATCAAAATACAAAAATGCCATTTAAGAAGTTAACAATTACAATGCTTCTGAACATGTTTATTATTCCAATGTAGTAACTCCTATTATAGCAACTTCAACGTCAAGAATCAGAATTAATGGTATTAATGAGAATTAAGTTGTATACATGCAAAACAATATTTCAAAATATCCCAAAACTAATACTTATTTTAATCCTCTTAATGAATACTAATTTTTAGTATAAGCTTGTTATAGTTAAATACTAGAATGAGCAAATATGGAAAAAATTTTAAATTCCAGTTCAAGGTTATCACTATAGAAACACATGAGGAAAGTGCTTTGGATTATCTTTTAGTGGGTACTTTAAGAGAGTATTGTTAAATCATTAGTCTTAGGTTCAATAAATGGTTAAAACCAGTTGAAAAAAGTTCTCAAAAATCTGAAGCAGTTGTAGTATAGTGCAGAATATTAAACTTGGAGCCTAAAGATCAGCCCCAAGTGTCACTAGTTTTGTGACTGTTCATGTCACTTAATTTGTTTTTATAGATCCAACACATAACTGTCCAACATGTTTCAAATCTTGTCCAGTTTTTTTCCAACATGTTATTTTTCTTTCAATCAAGGACTTATATTGAGAGTCTACTGAGTGCCAGGAACTGTGTTAGATTATTCTAATGAGGAACTGAAGATACAAAGTCAGAAATGTGATCTTTCTGTTAGGAGAGTTTCAGGATCAAGTGAATTAAGTTACATATCCGCAATGAATTAAAAAATCAAATGTATATATTTAGACAATCCCAGTATGATTTCATAATTCTGATAAAATATCCTATTATCATTGCATTTTGTCACAATATGGTTATATGAGGCTTCTCGTATATATATATATATATATATATACACACACACACATATTAGCAGCCAAATGTTTATATATATATATATACACACACACACACACACACACACATATATCTAGACTACGAACAGTTTTCAAGCTTTAAGTTCTAAGGATGATACCAAGTAAGGCTCACAGGAGAAAAAAATTGAGGTAAATATTCGATAACTAGATACTTTGAATCATTTGTTTTTAGTACCATGCAATTTAGGAAGGCAACATATTGAAACAATTAAGTGAAAATACTTATGTGGAAATAATCATGACCCAGTTTAAGAGCATTAAATAACAGAGGCAAGAAGTCACACTCTTTCATACTGGTTGCTTGTCTTGTCACTTTCCTTTGCACCAAAACTTATCTGAAAAGCTTATCCTGCAGGAAAAAATTACCCAGAGAAAATGTCAAGTGAATTCAAGAACAGGCAACAACATTTGTAATATTTTATGAACGTGTACAAGATACAACTGACACATAACACATACTATAAAAAGGTTATGGAATATAAACAGACCAATTTAAATGAAGCAATATTCTGATAGGTATGAACTAATTTACAAGCTTTATTAACACAGCTGCTTTGTCCTACCAATCTAAACTGGCCAATCCTTTCAATATAACAATTAGGAAAGAAGCATATTCTTCAGCAGATTTCTCATGAAATATTCCAGACGTTATACAGAAAAGCCTAAAAATTGAACTTCTTTTTCTTGTTAAAATGTGCATTAACTTAAACATATCGTTTGGAATGTAACCCTGGGAAGCAAAATACACGCAGAAAAAATTTTAACAAAAACATATACACATTAACTCAGATACAGGTATGGTTTTCAGTATCAACGACAGGCTTTAACTACACTGCACCCACATAAGCCACTAACAGCCATTCTCTTAAAGCCAAGGTTTGTTTAAAGATTCAGAACCAAGGGATAAGCAGGCTGGTATGAAAGAAGGAAAGTTACTTTTCCCAAGCATTTTCTAATTAAGTTTATCTCTCACAAATACAAACTTTGTATGTATGTACAAACCATGGTTAGTACGAACCATGAGCTACCCGGGGCTAGCAGAAGGGTGTACTTAAAGATCAGGAGGGGCTCCTAGAGATGAAGGGCAAACTGTATTCAAACATTAATGATTCCCCTTGACTAGGAAGTATTTCAGGATAAAAGCATGTAGGGATCCCGTCATTATCTAGAAAAAGGCTGGTGGGCAGGAACAAGAGGAGGAAGTAGGGGCACGAAACAGGTTTAGTTAACGGCGTTTAGTCTGCACGCAACCCTTCTTCCCCTCCATCTCTATCCGATTGGGCTATCCTCTCCACGTTCGAAGGCTGAAGGGTCAGAGAGAGATTTGGGGTTGAGCGGCTCCCCCCGCAGGTCCCCTCCCTAAGTTTTCCCTCGGTTTGAGCCCAGAGCTCCGTTCCGAACCGACCTAAAAGCTGGTCCAGGGCTGGGAGCCCAGTTGATACTAGCAGCTGCCCATTCCGCAGAGACGGTAGGGTGCCCGCGATGGATACCAGTCGAGAAGAGGTGCTGTCGGTACCACTAGACCTAGGACTCCTCCGCTGGAAACTGGTGACGTTGTTCTTTCTGGCTGTCGCCACCACAGATCCAGTGCTCCCGGTGCCGGTGCCGCAGGTCGCCGCTGCCGCCATCTTGGAGCTCCCTCATTGACCCAATAGGAACTCTGGGAACTCAAGCCACCGGCCTGTCAGAACTGGCCCCAAACTCCCGCCTCTTAAGGCTCCTGTAGCCTATAGGACTGAGAATTTCTCACGAGTGAACCAATCGCAAGGGGTGTTGCTGAAAAGTGCGCTTACGTAATGACGGCGGACTTCGGCAGAGGCCCAGGTGAAAAAGGCCCACCTGAGTCCTCAGTGAGTCTTCCGGGGACCTTTGAGGCTACAGGTGGGTGATATTATTTAACATTCCTCTCATTTTGAGTGTCTTCATTCAGGTTGAGTTAAATAAAAGGATTTTGGGGAGATAACAAGCAACTACCAGCAAGACTTTGCACCTTTCTTCGCCGGTTAGTAAAGAAAGATACTTTCCCTGACCCTTTTTCTTCTGATTTCTTAAGAGAAAAATCCACACCACCTTCCTCAGCAGGTCTTCCTGAATAGTTGGTTGTATTTTAGTGAAGAAATTAGGACTCTTGCCTTAATGAATTGCTCGGTGAGTCTCTGGGCTCAGTTCCTCAGTGCCAGTGGCCGGTGGGTTGGATTTAGACCTTACAGTGAAAACATTTAAGCTTTGAGGTTGTTTTTCTCTATCTCACACGGCAATAATAAAATATAAGTCCCCGGGAGAAGCTTTCGTTAATTTTAATTAGTGCTTCTGGAAGTCTTGAAGCTCTTTTCCATAAATGGTGTGAATGACAAGTGTTACTCTGACAACCTTGTTCACACATTTAATTGTCGTTTGCTGTTAAGGCAGCAGCAAAAAACAAAAAAAAATACTTAAGGTTTCTTTTACCTCCAAATGGTAAGAAGTAGATGTATATATATTTTCTTTTTCTGGTGATTTATAAACTCTTGAATTGAGAGTTTATTAGAATAGGAATTTTATGTGCGGGAGAAAAAAACGTAATTTAGAGCTATGTGTTGGATTTAAAATTTTTTTTTCATAACTGACCTGGGGATGGAGTAAGTGATTTTTTAAAGGTATTCATGATTGACAAATGTCTAAACTAAAAAAAACTGAAGTCATGCCTGCAGTACTAAGTTAGTGGTTTTGACCGTAATCTATGGTACTTTCAAAATATATCCAAACCTGAAATTCTTGCCATTGAAGTGTTTTAAATCTTAATGATCTGCGAAAACTTTTTGCCTGACTTTACTTGATAAATTGTTAATTAGTCACTGCAATTTTCAATTTCGGAGGGTTTTTGTTTTTGTTATTTAAAGAAAGTTGTTCAGGAAATAAAAAAAAAGCCCATCGCATCTTGATATTTAACAGTGTATCACCTGGAAAGGTGGTGAAGGTTTAGATGCTTTCATTTCAAATCTTTGGTCGGTATAAATCTGTAATCTAAGCCACTCAATAAACAGCTGTTGAGTCCTGACTATCTGCCTAGATGTACTCTTGTCAGTTTAGACCTATAGAAATAAAAATGTTCTCATTAAGTGACAAAGTAGTCTCATACCAAATTTTAAGTAAAGGAATTATAATAGAATAATTTAATTTAATCTGTCTTAATTTTTTTACAAAGACAAAACTTGCTCTGAAAGCAAATAATCCTGAACACTTGACCTATTACCCTGTGGAGTTGAATATGAAACATTGAACGGGTGAAGTATTTGTAGAAGAGAAAAGTTAAATAGGGTACATGTTTAGTTGTGGTCTTAATAATGATAAATAATTATTTAATAATTAATTATTGTTTATTGAATACATAGCAAATCCCAGGGAGTGTGCTAAGTGGTCAGGTTACAGGAGAAAGAATACTGAGCCTCTGTGCACATTGAGTTTACAGCTGGGGGAGATAGGTGGGCATATGGGATAATAAAGTATACTGTAAGTGCTCTGGGTGACAAATGCCGGATACCTAAGTCAGACTAAGAGAGGAGCATTGGTAAGTTTCCCCTGAAGAGGAAGCTTAACCTGAGTTTTGAAAGATGTGTAGAAGATAAAGTCATTATGGAGAATGGAAGCCATTACAGAGAATGGGACTACTGTTCTTTCAACAAATGTGCTCTCGTTGTTTCTGTGTTCTCGTGGTATAGAGTGGTAAGAGAAGAGGACACTGGACAAGTTAGACAAAGTCTAATTGATTCTTTTAAGATGGTGGTTTTTTTTTTTACCACTAAGGATATTGGGAAACCAACGAAAAATTTTAAGTAAAGGAATGATATAATGTTCGTATTTGGTCATTGTTTTGACTAAAAATATGCTGGAAGAAAATGGGTTGACTAAAAAGTATGATTGGGGTAAAGAGAATGGAATGAATTAAGAGATTACTATGAAGGGTAGAACTGATATGACCAAAGAAGGTTGACAGGAGGAATCAAAGATAACTAACAAGTTTCTGCCTTGAGCAGCTGTGTGGATAGTGGAAGATGAAGAATAGAGGAGGAACAGCAGAATTTTGTAGTTGTGGTGTTGGTTGTTTTAGGGAATGGGAGATCATAGAATGAGGGTTTTTTAAATGTATATTTTGAATGTGTTTAATTAGAGGTACCCATGGAATATCCACATGGAGATATCCAATACATAGTGTGATCTGTGAGAGAGAGATCTCTGGATAAAACATACAGATTTGAAATTATTTAGCACATGGTGGGAATTTATCTCAAGGGAATAGATAAACTCACCAAGGAAATGTATACTTTAAAATGAGATGAAAAAAGAACAGAGAACAAACTTTGGGCAGCATGAACATTTAAAATCTGGGCAGAGGAATAGAAAATAAAGTAAGAATTGAGAAGTATTTATTTGATTTAGCAGTAATTTTCAGGGGGGTTTTAAGAAAAAATTAGATGGGAATAATAAACTGAAAGTTAATTGTATTCAGAATTGAATGGCAAGTGAAGTTGAATATTGTGTAAAAGTAGACCACTTCACATTTTAGAAAACTTCGCTGTGAAGGGAGGTAGAAGTAGAGGGAGGAGACAAAGACTTAAGGGAGGAGTTTGGTTGTTAGAAGACAGGTACTGGAAAATAGTTTTAGACGATTGATGAAGAAAAGTACCTGAATGGAGTAGAAGGAATAGAATCTGTAGTACAGAGAGAGATCAGTATTTGAAAAGAGGAGGGACAATTCTATGGCCAAAGGGTGTAAATGAAAATAAGTCTCTTTTTTTCTCCTTTCTGCCAATAAATCTTAGAGTCCTTAGGACCATTTTCTCTTTTTATTCCATATTCTTACCTTCATCCAATGGAGTAAAGATCATCTTTTCAACAAATGGTGCTGCAACAACTAGATACACACATGCAAAAAAAAAAAAAAAAAAAGACTGGACAACAGACCTTACACCCTTCACAGAGATTAACTCAAAGTGGATCACATCCCTAAATGTAAAATGCATAACTGTAAAACTCCTACAAGATAACAGGAGAAAACCTAGAGAACCTTGAGTATGGTGATACTTTTTTAGGTACAACACCAAAGGCATGATCCATGAAATAAATAATTGATAAGCTGAACTTAATTAAAATAAAAAATTTCTCATTGAAGACATTGTCACGAGAATGAGAAAAGCTACAGACTGAGTTTTTTGCAAATGATAAATCTGGCAAAATACTCAACTAACTTTTAAAACTCATCAGTAAGATAACAACTCGATTTAAAAATGGGCCAAAGACCTTAACAGACACCTGACCAAAGAAGATACAGAGATGGCAAATAAGCATATGAAAAGATGTTCCATGTCATATGTCATCAGGAAAATACAAATTAAAACAATATTGAGATACCATTGTACACCTATTAAAATGGCCCAAATCTGGAACACTGACAACACCACACATGCTGATGAGGATGTGGACCAACAGGGACCTATGCATTGGTAATGGGAATGTAAAATGATGCAGCCATTTTGGAAGACAGTTTGAAGGTTTCTTACAAAACTAAATACACTCTAACATAATGATCCAGCAATCATGTTCTTTGGCATTTAACCATAGGAGTTGAAAACATATCCACATAAAACCCTGTACATGGATGTTTATAGCAGCTTTCTTTATAACTTTCTTTGTAACTGCCAAAATTTGGAAGCAACCAAGATGTCCTTTAGTAGATGAATAGATAATGATACATCCAGACAATGGAATATTATTCAGCACTAAAAACAAATGAGCTATCAAACCATGGAAAGACATGGAGGAAACTTAAGTGCAAATTACTAAGTGAAGCCAACCTGAAGAAGCTACATGCTAATTCCAACCAAATGACATTCTGGAAGAGGCAAAAGTATAGAGATAATAAAAGTTCAGTAGTTGCTTGAGGTGGTTGGGGGAAGAGATGAATAGATGGAGTACTATTTGTTTTAGGAATATTGCTATTCCTAAAAATAGGAAATTTTTAGGGTAGTGAAAATACTCTGTATATTATAATTACAAGTATTAGATCATTATATTTTTGTCCAAATCCATTGAATCTGTAGCACTAAAAGTAAAACCTAAGGTAAGCAATGGACTTTAAGTGATTATGATATGTCATTGTAGGTCCATCATTGGTGAAAAATGTACAATTTGGTTGTGTTGTTAATGGAGGAACCTCTACATGTGTGAAGTCAGTAGTATGTGGAAAATTTGTGTACCTTTCAGTTTTGTTGTAACCCCTTAAACATCTCTAAAATAATAGTCTCTAAAAAAAAATGTGTCTAGAAAAAAAAAGAAATTAGCTATGTAAAATCTCAGTCTGAGAATTCCATGAACAACGTATATATTACCCTTGTGGTCATGTCATTTCTGCAAGGTTTTCAACAAGTTGGTATTCTGATAGTCTTAAGGTACAATTGAAAGACTGTAACAACCTATTTTAGGTACACCAGAAAACGTAATTATCATGATAAGCAACTAACATCCCATGACAAGAAAGGGTACCTCTTTTGTTGGTTTTTCAGTGGCTTTTCTGGAACCTAAGGTCCATATTACCATTGTGTTTGTGCAGGTAAAACATATAACAAAGATATTGTGGAGGTTATTACAGGGCCTGATAATATTCTGGCAGCATGGCTGAAAAAGTAAATGTAAATGCTAAAGTCATGCCTGCACAGAGGGAGTTCTTAGACCCCATGTATTCCC